CGTGGGCCAAATTGTGTGCAATGATGCGAGTGAACAGTCGTGTGTTGACAATGTCTGCGGGTGCAAAGTTCATCGCCGCAGACGTCGGCCGCCCATCATCGGCCTCAGAGCAGATCACCACAAATGGCGCCACCGCCTCTGCCAACACAAACAACACAAAGTCTGCCTGCACCACACCCACACTCTCATACGCTGCGGGAAGCTCAACGTATGTGTAGCACATCTCTGAGATAAACTGCATGATGACCAAATTAAACCGTGATCGCACCACGAGAAGACGCTCACTGTGCAGTGCAATAGCTGCTGGAAGGAGTTCATTCAACAGAATGTCTCGTTTCTGTGGTGTGAGTACATTTCCATCACGGCATGATGGAGAGTGTCTATGTAAAGAACCAGTCATTCCACTACTGCAGCGCCCCATCGATCTATCCAACTCCTCAGAAGAGACATGAATGCGAATAGGCATCCAATCTTCCTCTTCACTTTTTACTGCTGTAGTAGTAGTTGTTGTGTACAGGGAAACAGTACTCTTACCACTTTGAGGTAATTCCCGTACAATAAAAACAGACTAAGGTGTATAAATAGTTTTATTCCTCATGTTCTTCCACATAGTAGTATCGTACGTGCAACTATCATCACGGAGGGCTGCAAGGCCACAGACACAGTTGGACAAGAGCAGCAAGAACAACAGCACAGATATTATCATTTCCAACAAATTCTTCATTACTTCGTTATTGTACCGCTATATATATTAGTTATCATTGACTATTTTTTTTATTTATTATGCCTCTATCATTCTTTATGATTTAGATCAGATAGTAGAACAACATGAACAGTACAAAATACCACACATTCTCACGTATTCAGCAATTCACACCTTCACTGGAACAAATAAATGAACAATAATAATAGTACGCAATCATCACAGAGAATGAATATTTATTTCCAAAACACAGAAAACCACAAAAAAGAAAACCACCGCTTAGTACATCATCATCCTCATTATCATCAACAATAACAGAATATAGCACAGTTACCATAGTCAAACATTAAAAAATAACTAACAGTAACAAAATAAGAATTCACCATAAAAGCCATTAACTACCCACTAATAGAGAATCACTATGCCACCATTACTATTGCTATCCAAAGTACTGTGGCTGGTTGGGCTATTGATGAGTGCACTACTACTAGTGCCATACATCAACAATACCAATTAGGATTCTATATATATTCACTGAACACTAATTCCCCTTCCATTTCACAGTAATGGCAAGCATTCACTTCATTAGAGTTAAGGTGTAAACACATCATGTACAGTACACCCTACACTGTAGACTGGTAGCTGTCCCTCTTCCCTTCATTACCCACATCGAGTATGTGCGTACACACACATGGGACCACAACAACCCCTTATCCCTGCTATGTCTGCTGCACAAGTGTGGCTTTATTAGAGCCAACAACGCAGACACACACAAATAACATACAGGGCATCACTGTTATTATTATTATTATTATTATTATTATTATTATTATTATACTACACTAGTGCATCATAAACTAAGGAATAGGAAACACAAAGAGCAAACAGGTAAACATACAGATATAACACCACAGAGCCTTATCACACTCATGGTACACCATAGGAACACATATCTCTTTAAACTGTCAAATACACCATTCATGTTTTAAAAAAGAGCATTATTAATAAACCCCAATCAGTGAATCCACACACAACAGTACCATAGGTACCGATGCTTAATAACAGAGAAAAGTGCAGTATAATAAGGCACCAAAAAGAACAAACTCACTCAGCTTACCTCACAGCACTCCCTCCTTAAGAGGAAAGACGGTATTAACAATCAGCACACACACATTCCACACTAAACATCTGAAAAACACAAATAAAAAACAATAAATACTGCCGTCATTATTCCCAAACCATTATTAAGCAAAGCAAAAAGAGACCCCAGCGTTCAAGTTAAAGAAAGATTACACCCAAGATTACAATCTCGAGCTAAAAAGAAACTGCCCCAATATGAGGCCAAATCACACAGAGGTCCCACCACCATCACCACCACTACTACTACAATATGTCTATCCACTTCCTCCCAGCAGCAGTGTATGGGGGCACCATAAAGCAAAGAAAGAAAGCAATAATGTTATTGGCTCAGTTTCACACAATGAGTGTTAATATCAAGAACCCATCCACGTTGACGAGGTGATTGCA